GGCCAAGTCCTGGGCCACAACGACATCTGCCTGCTGCAGCCAGGACATGTCCCGCTCACGGATGAACCTGTCACCTCCAGCAGCCTCTTCCCTGCGCACACCTAGCTTGGCAAACGCCACGGGCTCAGTGAGCACGACTCTGAAGAGCCGCGGTCGTGACACGATCCGCTGGTACAGCTCCTGGTCATTGCGTCCACCGGATGCTCCCGCAGAAGTATAGGGCCCGGCAGCCGGGCTCCCCACACTCCCAAGCGCCAGCCACCATTGCCTCCATGTCCAGAGGGACCTTCAAACCCATCTGGATTGCCGTACAACAGGGAGCTATCGGCACCAGCATCCACAAGGGCCAATACTCACTGTATGTTGTGTGTGGGGGGGACCAGTGAACAGTCAGTTCCACATGAGGCCTCCAGTCTCCCAGTTCCAGAGGGCTAGCAACCCCTCATTAGGCTGCTGTTCAATCTGAGTTTGCGTGCCTTCCGGCACCCCAGCAGGGCCTCCTCCCAGAGCCATAGACTGGTCATACTCTATCTGTCTCTTAATCACAGGATGGGCCTGGAGCACGCCTTGGGTGGGGCTCTCGGGTGGCAGAGCATGGTGGGAGGAAAACAGGGAGACTACCTGGCCTTCCAGTGTCCTTTCCAGGGCATGGGCCCGTTGTTCCGGCGCCTCTTCGACCTGTTGTAGCTACTGCATCTGCTGCATTTGGTCACATATGGTGATCTCTTGCTTCTGCAAGACAGAGAGGGACAGCCATGCAACCCGCCCTGCTGGCTCACAGTGGGCCTTGGGTATGTTCATCTCCATGAGGTCTAACACCTTCCGTATAGCCTGTGGGGTGGGCTCCACTGCCTCCCAGTCCTCGTGAGGGGTCCACTCTGTGAGGAACACGGCGACCGGGTACCAAAACGCCATCAGGGGCCACATGCTGGAGTCCTCCCCTGGGGGTTCTGAGGCAGATGGGCAGCTACTCGCGGCATCCTGCCGACTATGCCAAATGTTGGGTCCGAGGGTTTCAAGTAGGGACGGTTTCGGCGGTGAGATACACAGACGGAAGAAAAGCCTTGCAGAGTCTGACATGAATGCAGCCAACACTTTATTCAGCAAAGGCAGAACAGCAGCAGCAGCAGTGCTCAGTTAAACAGCAGCAGCGGTAGCAGCAAAGGCAGAACTCAGAATCCAGCAGCAGAGCAGCACAACGCAGAACACAGCAGCAGAACCCAGAACCCCGTTAAGCAGAACTGGGTTGTTGTTTTTTTAACACAGTAACAATAGTGTCATGGTGCCAGCACGCATGCGCACTAAGAGCAGCTCACATAAACAAGTTGTTTTCCTTGCAGTCCCACCTGGGCCTGGGGGAGTCAGGGCTGCCGGTCTCCAAAGATTTCCTGACCCTGGGAGGCCCTGACAACTGGGCCCCCACAATATTGTTAGATTCTTTGTGTTAACATTTTGTTAAGAATTTTTGCATCTACGTTCATGAGGGATATTAGTCTGCAGTTTTCTTCTCTTGTAATGTCTTTATCTGGCTTTGGCAACAGAATAGTGGTGGCTTACTAGAGTAAGTTGGGAAGCATTTCCTCCACTTAAATTTTCTGGAAGAAACTGGCGTTATAGGCTCAATTGCGTCCTCTAAAAATTCATATGCTGAAGCTCTTACCCCTAGCATCTCAGAATGTGACTAATTTGGAGATATGGCTTTAAAGGCGATTAAGTTAAAATGAGGTCATTAGGGTGAACCCTAATCTAACCTGAACAGTGTGTTTATAAGAAGAGGAAATTGGGGCACCTAAAGAGGCAGGAAGGATGTGAGAGCATAGAGGAAAGACCATGTGAGGGTAGCATGAGAAGGCGGCCATCAGCGAGCCAAGCCTCAATGTGAAACCAATCCTGCTAACACCTTCATTTTGGACTTCCAGCCTCCAGAACTCTGAGAAAATACATTTCTATTGTGTAAGCCACTCATTCGGTGATATTTCGTTATGGCAGCCCTAGCAGACTAATACAGCTGGTATTATTTCTTCCTTAAGGATTTGGTCGAATTCACCAGTGAAGTCACCTAGACCTGGAGTTTATTTTTGAGAAGGTTTTAAACGACATATCCAATTTATTTACTAGATACAGGGCTATTTCCAATTGAGTGAGTTTGTGTCTTTCTAAGAGATTGACCATTGCATCTTAGTTTCTGGTACTGTGAGTCTTACATTCATTTTAATACAGAAAATTACAAATAAAATGAAACCATTAGTTATTCCACTGTCTCAAAATAACCATTACTAATGTTTTGTTGTATATCCTTCCAGATAATTTTTACACATGTGCTCACCCATCTCCCCACCCACTCCCTTTTTTCTACAAAATTGCTATTATCCTTCATAGCCAGGGTTTTGTTTTCTGTTTTCTGTATTGTCAAATCTTTGAAAACATGATTATGGATGGATGGTTAATAATTTGCTCAACTAACCCTCTAACTTAATGGGCTTCTGATTTGGGGGGTGCCTCATAAAAATACCACAGTCAATATCTTTTTCATCTGTCTCTGGGAACAACTCAGGTGTGCATCTTGGTTTACAGTTCCAGAAGTGGAATTACTGGGTCAACCAGTTTATTATTGACTTCTGATATTGAGCACCCTCTGCTTGGTAGGAAGAGGGTGGGGATTGGGAACAGCTGCCCCCAGTTCCCACCTTAGGGGTTTGCCCTCTGCAGACCAGCTCAACCAGCGCAGCCTGTGGGAACGCAAGATAAGAACATGGCAACAGGAGTTGTTTAGAGGCTCACAGGGGTTCCCACCCTGCCGTGGCCTCCTTGGCATAGATATAAGTGGCTCCAGGTTACCTACAGGTTGGAGGCTGTATCTCCGCGTCTGAACTGACTGAGCCTTACTTACCTCGCTCTTCCTCCTTTGGAGTGACATCATTGAGAGACGTATGCAAAAATAGACGCAAAAACTGAAGCCAAGCTTTGTGCACTCAAGTGAGGGCAGAGACGGGCCTTCTCCTCCCACCCCTCTCAGTCCTCAGGGAGCTCCCAGGCTGACCCGGCAAATGCAGCCCATGTCGCATGAGCAACCGCTGGGCTTTGGAGGAAATCAAGTCCTCTGTTCTCCGGATCTCTGGTCTGAGTAAAATGTCAAGGTCCACAAACCAAAACGTGTACAGGTACCTACTGAGAAACGTATAACCAAGTGCGAATCAACACCTTCCCACGAAAGGATGTATGCTTGGATGCAGTGGGGTTTTTCTAGAAATTCCTGGGAAAGAGAAGGGCCTGGATCCTTAGAGAAGAAGTTGGGCAGAGAAAGGATGGAGCTAGAAGAAGGAGTCAGCAGGCCAGCTGGTTTGGTAAAACCCCCAGTAGGAAGGGAACCCCCAGAGGTGCCCCGGAAGGTGCCTCTTCTGTCCCTTGTCAGCAAATCTGGGGGCACCGGCAGAAGGGCTGATGTGAAGGTGGGGGTTATTTGAAGCTTTAATTTCCGAGAGTAACTTTCTCTCCCCCCTCCCGTGTTCCCCTTCCCATCATCCCAGTTTACCTCAAGGCTGGAGAATGGCTCTCGGCTTGGCGACTACCAGATCCTTCACTGAGCACCTACCCTGTACCATACTGTACGACGCCTGACACCTGTCGTCTGCCAGCGCAATCCTCCCTCCGCGAGTCTGCTTATATCCAGTCAACAGCTGAGGACACAGAGGCCAGGGAAGGGGATTATCCAGCCAGGGACACAGAGCCAGGAAGTGGGGGTGCTAGGGTGGGAGCCCCATCAGCGGGACTGTGCATTCTCCAGGGGCTCCCAGGGCTCTAGCCCCCTTTGTTTTTCTCCTGTCCATCTTGCCCACACACATGCCACCCCCCCCCCGACCCATGCACACACAACAGGCACATGGCACCGACTCCCAGGTCACCAGGCTCTCAAACAAGAGGCGACTGTGCCCCCCAGGGTACATCTGGTGATGTCCGGAGGGAGACATTTTTGGTTGTTACAACTTGGCGGGGAGGGGGTTCCTACTGGGTCTAGCGGTGGAGGTCAGGGGTCTGCTCAGCACGGCTCCACCACAGAGGCGTGGGGCCCATGACAGTGTTGCGGGGTGTCTGCTCCTGGTCAGTCAGGCTCACCTTTCCAGATGCGAGATGGGGGCTTCCTGCCAGATGCATGTTACCCCTCCAGCTTTAGCCAGATGTGGGCACCGACACGCTTGCAGATGTGGCGGGAAGTCTTCCGGACACATGGGTAGCCACACGGAGAGCAGACCTGACAAAGATTCTCTCCTCCACTTAACTCTACTCACGCTCCCTTCTACTGTTTTTCAACTAGCCCTCGACGTCTGGGCTTCTGTGCTGGTCTCTGCACTGTCCATGTTTAGGAAGAATCTTGCTAAGTCAGTTCAGCCAGAATCCCCATCCTCGATATCTGGCCACACCCAATATCATCTGATGGGGTTCCTCACCCCCGACCCCAGGTGGTATTTCATCACCCTTGGCTGATCCCTCTTTCAGCCAGCACCCCCTTACCCCTCATGTAATTTTCCATCCATTGACCCCACCCCCACCCCCACCCTGCTCCTTAGCTATAAATTCCCACTTTTCCTTGTATTTGGAATTGAGTTCACTCTCCCGCCCCCACTAGAAGACCCCATTGCAGTGGCCCCTAAACCTATCTCAATAGCCCCCTTTGAATAGTCTGCCTCACTGTGCTTTGATAGTCGTCACTGAATACTTTTTCCTTTAGCATCCTTTTCAGATAGGAATAGGGGGGCCTTTGGACTAATTTCCTTTCAGATGCGTGGGGAGGGGACAACTCCTGGTCACATGCATAAGCCCCCACACTCTGTAGGCCAGAGCACCCTCGGGGTGGGGACCAGGCAGCTTTGGGCAGGGCGGTGGTGATGGTGGTGGGAGGGAGGGAGGAGGCGGAGCCTCCTTTTTCTAGGGCATGTGTCACCTGCCTCCTGCTCAGGGGCACTGCCCTGGCACTACCCTGCCAGTGTAGGTGGCAGTGTGAAGCTGGGGCCTGCTCCCCAGAGCCCTTGGAGCAGATTGCAGACCTTTGGAGCCCTATGTCGCTGGCACCCCAGAACCCAGAACATGGCAGATGGGGCACAGGCAAACCCCAAAGGGTTCAAGAAGAGGGTGCTGGTTAGACACCCCTTTGGGTGGAGGGGCCCAAGTCTCAGTGCCTCTTCTCCTTTGAGGACCTCCAGGTATGTGCCTTCTCCCCTGGGATGGAACCCTCTATGGAGAGGAGCAGAGATGGGAGTGGGGAACTGGCTCCTTAAATCCATTTCTCTAGCAAGGAGAGCTCTGAGTCTCTGAGTGATGGCTGAGAAATATCACTGCATTTTCAGCACTAGAAGGGCCTTAGGGATCATCTAGTCAATCTTCATGAGGCACTTGAGGCCCAGAGAGGCTAAGGGGTTTATCCAAGGTCACACAGCATTTTGGAGGCAGAGCTGGGACTAGAACCCACGGACCCAGGTCTCTTGGCTCTGAGTGCAAGACCCAGCCACCAGGTTGGGCCATGCGACGTCCTAATGCAAATATGGAAGGGAGGTTAATTCTGATCTGTGACAGTGACCTGACCCCATGAGACTGAGCTTCCTGTGTTGGAAGCTGATGCAGGGAGGGGACTCCTGCTCAAGTTGGGGGTGGGGGTGGCGGGAAGGAGGCTTCTGGTGCCTCCAGGAGGTGCAGGGCAGGTGGGAGGTGCTCAGATCTTCCGGGAGGTGCTAATCACAGGGCTGGGGCAGCAGGCACCAGGGCATCAATGCCGTCCCGGGCATCAAAGGATGGCATTGATGGCGCCTGTAATGACAATGAAGCCAAGGAGTGTGCAGCAGGCCCCAAACTGCAGGAAGGTGGAGTAGAGGAGCCAGACTCAGGACCTGGGTTTCTCCCTGTCTCCTATCTAGCCTGGCTACGATGAAGTTCTTCGCCATCGCCATCCTGGCCGGCAGCAGTGAGTAAAGGCTCTGGGGAGACGCCTCCTGCTCCCCCCACCCCCCGCCATCCCCAGCCTTTCTCCCTTGACCTTGGGTGCCCGGGTTCTCCATTCCCTGACCAGCAGCAAGACCTCGGGCCTGCCCTTCGTCTCTCCGGGTCTTCAGTTCCCTGCTCAGCCCCCATCAGGCCTCACTCTCTCTCTGGGGCTGCTTATTCCTCCAGCCACCTGTAAACACGCCACGGGCGGTTGGCATTTACGAGCCTCGAAGGGGCAGGGCTCAGAGCTGAGCAAGCATCGTAAAAGTGGTGATATTTGCTGGGTGGCTGTGTACACAGGAGCTTGTGTTTGTGTGCATGTGGACATGTGGACAGGAGTTGATGAGTTGGTGCGTGGATACACATGCGTCTATGCGTGTGTAGGTGTGTCTGAGCATGTAGTGATGTCTCTGTGTGTAACACACATCAGTAACGTGTAACCATGTTATGGGGGGCTGTGTCTAGAGTGTGTATATGAATATAGAGGTGCGTATATCTGTATGCAGTCTGCGTGGAGCAGTGGTGTGAGTGTAAAAGAAGACGACGGGACAGTCTGGGGACTTCTTACCCAGGCTGGTGACCCCAGGTATATGGACTGGGGACAGCTGAGGCTCCTGACACAGATCTGACCCCCCGTTCCATTTCCAGCTGTTCTGGTGGCCACTGGAAGGTGGACGGAATCTCCGTCCAGCCTGTTACACATCCCTGAACAAGGCCAAGCTTGAAGAAAAGAAATAGAAACAAAATAAGGTTAAATGTGGCCAGACCTGAGAAACTGTTGGTTCAATTCAGGCAAAGTGACCTGTTATTTAGAAAATTACCACTTGAGTTCAGCCCAAATCACTGGTCAGGGACGGAGCCTTGAGCCTGACTAAACAGACTTTGTTTCTTCCACTTGGATTGCAAGTGTGGATGTGGCCTCAGCTTCAGGCCACAGGCTCCATTCGGGGGCTGCGTGTGCATGAGTGTATTTGCGATGTGTGAGAGTGTGTGCATGTGGGTACAAGTGTGCACAGGCGTGTGAGGGGAGCGTGGGTCTGTTTGTGAGTGTGAGGTGTGTGTGTATGAAGTATGAGTGGGTGTGTGTTTGCATTGAGTGTGTGGACAAGTGTGTTGCGTGTGGCGGAGAGTGTGAGGTGGGTGAGAGAGTGTTTATGTCTGTGTTTGTGTTTGTCTGTATGTAAGGTAGGTGTGCGTGTGTGTGTCCACCCTGTGTGTAGACAGGTGAGTTTCTCATGCTTCTCTTGTATGTGACAGCTGATGGTTGGGGGGCCCTGGGGACAGAAGCAGCCCCCCAGAATAGCACCTCCACAGCTAGTGAATAGATGTCGGGTGGGGCGTGGGGACCCTTCAGGCTGGGAGAGCGAGGGGTCCAGGACCTCACCTGGTGATCCCTCCTCAAGGATGTTCTCAGATTGAGGAATTGAGGTCAAAGAGGTTACGCAACCTGCCCCCGGCCTCACGGTGCCAATGGAGAAACCTGTTTACAAATGCAGTGTCTGACTCCCAAGCTGTCAGGCCCACATGTTTTTCTCCAGGACCAAGAAGCCAGCAGAGCTGGGGTGGGAAGCTAACATTCCTGGGGCACCCCCACCCCGGCCCTGTTTCCCCACTCTCTGGGCAGGTGCAGGCCCACAGGACACAGGGTCCTCTCTCTTCCTGCCCTGGGCCCCAGCTTGGACACCAATATGGCTCTAAACCATCCTCTTAAAGTCATCTGTCATTCTCCCTACTCCTTCCCCGTGTCCTCTCTTGTTCTTTATTCTCTATAATGACAAGAATCACAAAGCCAATAGACAGGAAGACTCATGGGGAGGAGGGTTCCCAACATCAGCTCTGTGAGGGCAGGGGCAGGCCTGGCCCAGGGTCCCCACAAGCCGCAGGAGGTGGCAGGCACCATGGAGGGAGGGAGTGTCTGGTTTGTGCTGGGCACTGAGCTGGGCACTGGCCTGGCTGATCCCTGGAGGGCAGGACTGTTGTTCCCATTTTACAGATGGAAAAACAGAGCCCGAGGGAGCTGCAGTTATGAGCCCAGGTCTGTCCTACTCCAAAGTCTGTGCTCTTCCCACTAAGACAGGTTGAGGTGGTGAGTTCCCCGTCACTAGCGATGTGGGACAACCACGTCTCAAGAAGCAAGTAATTGCGGCCTTTGGGGTTCCATTCAGCTTCTACTTTCTGAAGTTCTTGGCTCCTCCCTCTCCTGGTACATTTCCTCTTTCAGGCAGTGGAGCAGGGTTGGGAGTGTGGAGAGAGCAGGGGCAGAACGCTGAGCTGGGCACCGAACCCTGGGCCCAGCTGGAGGAGACCAGGGTGAGGGAGGCAGGCAGGGGCAGCAGTGCCTGGTGGTGGCAGCACAGCTCTGGAGCACACCAACCTGGCATCACGTCTGGGCTCTGCCACTTCCAGGCTATATGATTTTCATCGTTCTGAGCCTTAGTTTGCTCGTCCATAAAATGGGGATAAAGCAGCTCTCCTGCTTATGTGTGAGGCGGCCTCACCTAGGTGAGGACCTAAGTACCGGGCTCGGTGTTGACTCACCGAGGCCAGGAGCCCAGCAGACAGGGAACCTGGGGAGGGGCGCCTGTATCACTGGGGTGGGCTGGCTTCCAGGTACCAGGAGGCTGATTTTACTGGTACAGGAAGGGTTTACACTATTGCTGTCTGTGAGACACTGACAGAGGGAAAGTTGTGTGTGTGTGTGTTTTCACTGAATGACCAGAGCACCCAGTCATCTCTCGATTAACCTGAGATGCACCAGCCCCAGGACAGTGATTGGGACCCTAAGTCCCCCCTGGGGACAGAGGAGCCAGGATAGGCCAGAAGGGCCCAGGATCAAACCCCTGTGTTCAGAAGATCACATGGCATTTGCAAGGCCCCTTACAGTTTTCCCAGGCACTCGGGCTCTATCTGGGTCCAAATCCTGTCTCCACTGGTTTTCGACAATGTGTTCTTGGGCAAATGACTAAACGCTCTGGGCTTCAGTGTCATCATCTGTAAAACAGGACAGCCATACCACACTAGCACCTCGAAGGGCTGCAGTGAGCACTGGGTGAGTTAATGCACAGAAGGGGCCTGGCACACTGCCTGGCACAAAGCAGTCCTCGGCAAACAGTAACTATTATTATTTTCTCAGGGCCGTAAGGCTTAACGTTAGGATGTGGGTAACGCACCATACTCGGCGCCTTGCGGGCTGTTTCCTTCCTCCTGCTCTGCCTGCCTGCCCACCCCCCTTCCCCTGCCCTGGGGTGTTGGGGGAACAGCCAGTCAGACAGGGCAGAGAGCTCACGGCATGCTCTCGGTTTTCCTGCAGTCCTGCCTCTGGCCCACAGCAGCCTGTTCAACCTGAAGTCCATGGCGGAAGCCATCACGGGAAGAAACGCCATCTTGTCCTTTGTGGGCTACGGCTGCTACTGCGGGCTGGGGGGGCGCGGCCGGCCCATGGATGAAGTGGACTGGTAGGTTCCGAAATGCCTGGCCTTCTGTCAAGACCGGGCGGGGGCAGCAAAGGTCAGACTGATCTCCATCTCTGAGAGGTGGGAGAGGGCCCTTTCCCCAAAGGATGAGGCTTATTTGATGAGTTAGTGATGACAACCACGAGACTGACCCATTGACCTCTCCAACCATCTTGGACACTTTCTATTGTCCATCTCCAAGTTCTTGGGCTTGGAGGCATCTGAACTCCCACTCTTGCCAGGAAGGCACCTTTGACCTGCCCCAGAACACAGGCGGGCAACAGTCACACAGCTCACCCTTGACAAAGGCAAGGGCTGTGACCCCTGCCCCCATCAGACTGGAGGCTCTGGAGGGCAGGGCCATGTGTGCTTCCTCCAGCAAACTGGGAGTTCCCAGATGCCATGGCTTATCTTGTGTTCCTATCTCCCCCAAAGCAGCCAGCACCAAGTCTGGTAGCTCTGGAAGCTTAATAAATGCATGTGGACTAATTGTCTTCCCTGTACCAGAGGGGATGGGGACAGTCACACCACATTTGCTTTCTGTCCCTATCCTCAATCCCCACTCAACCCTTCAGACCTTTGTCACTCCCTGGCCACATCATGCACAGTCAGGTATGGCCTCTGCACATAGTCAGTCTCCTCCAACACTGACTTAGCCTTTAACCCTCCCTCCTACCCTGACCACACTGCTGGACCGCATGGCCGCTTCTGCAGCTGCAACCAGGGCTTCAAGGGGGAGAGCTGGGGCCCTGGGCATAGGACAAAGAGGCAGGATCGTGGACAAGAACCTGTGTGGGGCACAGTCTAGCTCTTCCTGGCTGCGTGACCTCAGGCAAGTAGCTGCCCCTCTCTGGGCCTCAGTCTACAGTTCTGACCAGCGAGGAAATGGAAGAGATGGGCCAAGCCTGGCGATGCGGGCCTGCTCTCTTCTACCTGCCCCTAGGTGCTGCCATGCCCATGACTGCTGCTACCAGAAGCTTTTTGATCAGGACTGCCACACCTACGTGGACCACTATGAATACACCATCGAGAATAACACAACGATTGTCTGCAGTGAGTCCCTCCCCCAACCTCCTCCCCCAGGAGAAGGGTGTGGACTGCCAGCTCCCCCAGCCTGTGCTGGGGTCCTGTGCAGGCTTGCCAGATGAAATACAGAACGCCCTGTTAAATTCAAATTTCAGATAAACAACAAAAACATGTTTTCATGTAAGCACATCCTAAATACTGCATGGGATATACTTACACTAAAAATTAAATGTTAGCCTAAAATCAATTAGTATAGAATTAAGAATTAGCATAAATATGTCCCATGGAAGATTTGGGACATACTTACACTAAAAATATTTATTGTTTGTCTGAAATTCAAATTAACCAGGCCTCTCTTTTTATTTGCTGTTTGTCTGTTAATCTAACAACTCTCGCTGTGATTCTAGCACATCTCCCTGATATGTTTTGGTCCCCAAGTCCGAATTGGCCCCCTGGTTCTCTAGTCCTGGAGACTCTGAAGCGTTGGAGAGCTTACGGAGTGATTCTGATTCAGTGGGACCGGGTGGGGCCTGGGTCATCAGGTGACTGTGAGACTTTGTGACATGCTGGCCTGGGAGTTGGGAGACCTGGGTTTAAACCCGGGTTCTGTCAGCATCTCCTTGCTGTGTAACCCTGGGCAGGGTCCTTCCCTACCTGGCCTCTGTCTCCCCACAGCTCATGGAAGGGTTTGGAATCAGAGCAGGCCTGTTGCCTTCCAGTCTGTCACTGGGACCCCAACAGAAGATGGCCCCATCCCAGGACCCTCTGTTTCCAGGATTCAAGCCAATGGAGCCAGGCCTGGCAGAGTTCCCTCTTTTACAGTGGGCTTTCCATGGCCATTCCTCACCCGAGGGGTTTGGCATCCAAGCTAATGGCCAAGGTGTCCCTGTCCTGCCTCTCCTTTGTGTCCCTCCCCAGGGCAGCAGGTGCCCCTGGCCCAGTACGGTGGGCAGCATGGGTTCCCTTTGTCTCCTGTCTTAACCAAGCTCTGATCCCTCACTAAAGGCCCACCAGCAATTCCAGCTTTGCAAAGAAACTCAAGTCTCCTATTCTCTGGGAAAGAGTCTGGAGGGATCTGGGCACATCTGGGGCTCTTGGGAGCTTGGGGCCCTGTAGTCCTCATATTCTGCTGTTCAAACATGGGGTGGAAGTGCTGGCTTGAGAGAGAAGGTGTGTCCCCATTAAAAACCCAAGCAATGGTTTTCACGGTGGCTTCTGGGAATTCCTGCGGGCATGGGGTCAGCTGCTGTGAGAGGTGATGGGGGTGTCCTTGAGCGGGCCATCTGGCTCTTTAATGTATGTTACAACTTAGAGGCTTCTCTTTCAGCTGTTTGCTGTATCAGCTTTCTGCAAAGAATCTCATTTAAGAGAAAGGATTGTGCTGACGTGTAACTTGGGCAGGGGCCTTCCCTACCTAGCCTCAGTCTCCCCATGGCTCATGGAAGGGTTTGGATCGGAGCAGACCTGTCATCGGGACCCCACCAGAAAGTCTGAAATGTTTGCAAACCATTGGCTAGTGGGTGGTTCTCAAAGGGTGTTCCCCAACCTGCACCATCAGCACCACCTACACACTTTTTAGAAATGCAAGTTATCAGGCCTCATCCTGACCAACTGCTCTTGGAGCTCGAGGGGTGGGGTTAGGCAGTCTGTTCTAACAAGCCTTCCAGCAGGTTCTAATGCACAGCTAAGGCTGAGAACGATGGGGTAAATGCTTTCTGGAGGCTAATATTAATAACACAGCAAAGTAGCAGTTACCACGTATTAAGCATTTGCTCTGGGGGAGGCAGTAAGCTAAGCTCTTTACAAGTGTGCTTTTCACTGGATCCTTACAACGAACTCCCTCAAGAGTGTGTGTTCTGCGGTTCTGTGATTGGACAGAGGAGGCCTGGGATGGCAGAAAGCAACCGGCCTCGGGGTGGGGAGTCCCTGACACCTGAGCTTCTGTCCTAGCTCTGCCTTGGGTTTGCTGGCTTAGGTAAACCCATCCCCCTCTCTGAGCCTCAGTTTCCCCAACGATGCAATGACATATTGGACTTGAGTGGTTCTCCAATGTTAGCATGCACCAGAGCCATGTGGAGGGCTGTTAACACAGGCCGCTGGGCCCAACGCAGAGCTTCTGAGCCCGCAGGCCTGGGGGACGCTACCAGGGTGCTGGTGCGGCCCGACCTGGGACCACATTCTGAGGACCTCTGAGCCCTCAGAGTCCATGCACTGCACTCCCCTCCACAGGAGATCTCAACGAGACGGACTGTGACCGGCAGACCTGCGAGTGTGACAAGAGCGTGGTTCTGTGCTTGCAGAGCCACACCTACAATGAGACGCATCGCAACTACCTCAATATATACTGTCAGGGCGTCACACCCAACTGCAGCATCTACGAGCAGCCCCACATCCATGAGCAGCCCCAGGAGAACACGACCTGCAGGCTCACCACCCTGGCACCCCCTGCACCCCCCTAGCGCCCTCTGGGGTCTGACAGAGAAGCGAGGTAGAACTTCCTGCTCTGGGGACCAGATGCGTGGAGCAGGTGGAGGTGGGGGCAGATGGGCAGCCCTGGGCCTGGGCCCTGACTGTGGCCACCTGTCTCCTCCAGGCCAGCACTAGGTATATCTAAGTCCTGCTGCTGGTCCTGGATTGGCAGGGAGTATGTAGATTGTTGGGATGTCTCCTGAGTGCGGAAGGTGAGGCCTGCGAGAGAGCCCTCAGGCCCCCAGGTCCCTGGCAGGGTCCAGCCCTCCCGCCTCTCCCCCTGCTCCTCCCCTCATGCAGCAGCCAGGCCAGTGGGTGGAAGGATCCCAGACCCCACTCTCCCTGGGCAGAGGGAGGTCAGTCTGCAGCCCATGCCAGGAGTTTTCTCAATGAGGAGGAGCCTGAGGGCTGAGACCCACCTCAGTGAAAAGGCAGGAAGTGAGGGCAGGCACGAGGCTGTGTGGAAGGTTCAGGAATGCAGTAGAGAGGGAAGGGAGGGCAGAAGGTGGGGAGAGGTGAGGCCAGGTGAGGGGCAGAAGACCAGAGTGGTCTCGGCAGGAGAAGCAGGGTAGAGAGGCCTTGGGGCTGCAGGGCCCCTCGAGCCCGGCTTTCCAGTGATGCCTGTGGGATTGTGGGAGGGGCAGAGCCGGGTCGGGCCTCAGCAGGGCACCTTCCCTGTCCTCCCATGCCTTACCTCTTGACCTCAGGGTCGCCGGCCTCCAAGTAGCCAGTGCCCCGCCTTAACCCCGCCTTCTGCCTTCGTTCAATGTCAACCCTGAGCACCCACTGACACAGCGCTGCAACCTGCCTGGACACTGAGAATAGCCACCAGGAAGTTCGACCCGACCTGGTAGTGCCCCCAAGGACTACTGTCACTGGTGGACGGATAGCCAAGAAGGGTGAAGATACGGAGAGGCGTGCGGGTGAGGAGTGAACATCTATGAAAAAGATGACAGGACTGGATAGAAGCCTTGCCAACCTGCAGCTTCTAGAACACCAGCTTTCAGGACTGAGGGTGAAGCTGTCATTGGAGTCAGCTGTCACTCTGTGGGAAGAGGCCCTTCCACTCCTGGCCATGGTATGATGGCTGTGGTCCCCATGTGCCCTGACCAACCTGCCCCAACTACCTTCTCTTCACCATCCTGGACTGCTCTCATCATCTCTGAGCCAAAGCCCCCACCAAGCAGGAGCCAGGACTGTGTGCCTGGAGCGCCCCCCTGGAGGTAGGGACTGCAGAGGCCTAGGCCCCGTAGCTGTGGGAGCCCAGTTTGTATCCTGCACATGTGCACACACCCTCCCCTGAAAGCTTGGACCAGCGTTTGGAATGAGATTCTGCTGTGAAGGATCTGCCTGCCCCCCACCTCACCCCAGACTGTCCCGGATGCTGCAACCCTTAGAGACACCCCCACAGAACACGGCATGCCCTCCTCAAACTAATAAAGGCCTCCTGTCCCAACCCCCTACTGCTGGTCCTCCCTGGCATATTACTCACTGGGCAGGCATCAGGACAGGGCACACTGACTCTCTCTGGGGTCAGCAGCTCTGGGGAAAGCGGGTTCCCTGCCACCCAGCAGCTGGCATGGCAGAGAGGCAAATGTTGGGAAGGTTGGAGATGGTGCCGAGGCCACAGGCAGCATGGTCCCGTGGTCAGACAATTGTTGAGGACTAGCCCTAGGCTGGGGCACCCTTCCCCCCACCCATCACCCCCAAAGGAATTTAAAAAGCTCCTGCTTCAGCAAAAGTTAACAAAGCTTCTTGACAAGAGACTGGGAAAAGATAAGTTAGGTAGCTTGTTAGGAAAGAATAAACAAGAC